TAGTACGATAGTGATCTACAGATCTAATAATCCTGTTTAAACAGGTTTGTTAATATTGAATAAACTATTTTTAGATTATTTTGATTTTGTGTAACAAAATAGTTTTTGCTGATTTTCTCAAAACCCGTAATCGGCCAAATTCTCTGGTTTCTACTTTTGACGCTCCAAATATTATAATATCTAATAAAATTCAAATTTTAAAAATGATCCTTTTGATGAAAATGCTAAAAATAGTCAATAATAAGTGAAATATAATATTATGACAATAATATTATAGCAATCTAGTTTGTGGCTTTTTTAACAAAAAAAATGCAGCTATATTAATTTTATTAATCAATTCTACCTATTGATATTGTAGATAAAAGTAAATAAAATATTAATAGTTTGTGATTAATTAAAAAAAAATGTTTAGAGATAAATAAATAACAAAATACTTTCTGTCACATATTCTAAAATCAGAGATTAGAAATATTAATTAGATAGATAAAGACATTATAATAATTATAAAATGTATATAAATTTGTAACTTCAATAAAAATTACCTTGCTATTAAGTTTTAATAACTTGATAAAACATTTTTCTAAAAAATAAATTTTATAAATCTTAAATACTGCAAGTAAATATGACTGAAGAACAAGATAATTATTATACTGATAATATAGAAGAGAATAATCCATTGTTTGAAAAAAATTTGGTTGAATTTGAATCATTTGGTGAAAATATACTTAAATATGAAGCATTTGATGAATATAGTGTTGATTCTGAAGTATTTAATGAAGCATCATTATGTGTAATATTATCAAGTTTTAAAAACACCAATTTATCTAAAACAATAGTATAATCACCAAAATGACGAAGGACAGACTCTATTTGGAGTGTAATAGAAGAGACTAATTATTGTAAAGTTTGCTGAACTGAATATTCAAAAGATACAGGAATCTCTACAATTAAATCACACTATAAAAGCAAACATTCAAGAGATTGGAGTAGGTTGTATGTACAAACAGTATTAAATTTTCTCAACACAGAACTTTATAGTAAAAAAGATAAAAAAAAAATTGTACACCTTCTGAAGCTTCTTGTTTAGTAAATAATTACAGACCAACAGATATTTAATTTTGGCATTAAATCAACAGTTTTCTTTTCTTACAAGACAAAAGATTTCTTTAAATATTATAAATCTTTATAGTCAAAAAAAAGATATACTTCATGCCTTTTTTGCTACAACACAACAAAAATTTGCAATCATAGCTAATATTTGAACTCTGCATTAAATCAATAAAAATTGAAAAATAGATAAAATTTTATTAGACTTAGTTTCACTTTATAAATAGCATACTGAAAAGTATATTGCAAAAAAGTTTTTAAACCAGTTTTTTATTATGATATTGGTAACTGGGTTCTTGTTGCAACAACTGACAATGCAGGTAGTATAGATGTATTTAATCATATTTTTGGCCAAATGCTTCAGAATAATTGTAATAATTTTGACTTTAAGCAAGTTGGTTGTGCAGCACATATACTAAATCTTGCAATTGGTAGTGGTATGAAAGTTGTCAATGAATCAATTTTCAAATTGCGTAGTTTTACTAGTTATATCTGTAAATTACAATCTATCTTTGAAAAACTTAAAAAATTTTTAAAATGAAAGAAAACTCCTTTTTAGTACTGGATTTGGATATGCCAACATGTTGGAATAGTACTTATAAAATGATTAAAAAGATAAATAGAATACATAAAATAACTGATATTTTGGTTGCAAGTAATTCTACATTAAAAGAAAAATATCTAAATGAAGAAGATTGGGTTGAAATTAATATAAGTATTATTACTTATTTTTAAGAAATTATTAATATTTTACTTATCTTTTTCTTTATAAATTTAAACTTTAAGGCAATCACTATGCTCCTTGAGCCTATTGTACAAGCAAC